ATTACATTGAGTAAGGGTAAACCATTTTTTTTAGTACAAAGTATTCCAACAAGTTTTCCTTATAAAGTCATCCAGCGATACGAATGAAATTTCAACCTAGACGTGTGATAGTTCAGTTACCCAGAAAATGTACATTAACGTCGATCGCTGTCATCATATCCGAGCATTTACATTTCATAATGACCAATTAAGTATATGCAATCTAAATGTTCAAGACAAGACAAAAAAATTACTCTGTTAGCTTGGTAGCGCAATTCGGTCTACTGATGATACATAATTCTTAAATTTACGCTCTCCCGTACCGGTCTAGATACGCGACTAAAGCAAGTTTCAACTTAAATACAAATGCACACGCATCAAATGAACTTATAACTAAAACTAATATACACAACATTTTAAACACTCTATATAGCCATACATTTAATTTATACATCAACTCCATTTCCAGATGCATAGCATAATCATTTCTTAGTGCAAGTTTTATACTCCAGAACTCTTGGTTGAACATGAGGATGGTTCTCTGCCCTGCCTTTAGAACGTATAAGTTCATCACAGGTAATTCTGCAGCTACATCTGAACTCTCCGATTCTAACAAATCATATCTATCCAATACACTCCCGATACCCATATACCTCCTATCCCAAATTCCAATTATTATTATTAATTATTAATTTGATACCCCTTATTATTAATTTGATACCCTGAAGCAATACATATATCGAGATCGCGCTGTCTGTTCCTTCATTATATTCAGCGAACGCGTTCCTAGATATTCCTGTTTTCTCTCCGACACCTCTATAGCTAAATTCGTCCCTAACCAATTGGGGAGATTAGATCCGTACCGATTCCGCTTCGTGAACTCTGTCCATGGCCAATATTTCCTTCACAGCATCATCTATTAGTTCTCCCTGCTAAATGATTGTTCTACCCAAGATTCTACCAAGATACAGAAAATGAAATGATTCCTATCTCTGACAATCAAGTGGCCATTAGTAATCGGAGAAAGGGATTCCCTTAACTTTGGTTCTACGCTACCTTATTTATTTGGATGGCGCCTCAGGACGTCTGAATTATAATAAGCCAAAAATTAAACATTATTAATTGATTAACAAATCAATTGATAAATTATTTATCAATTAGGAAAGCTTGATCATGTTGCTTCTAAAGTTGCTATGGAAAACTTCTAGGCGAAATAAAATATTACAATTTTGCTGTGGAAATTTGTTTGGCAAAACCTATATATTTGAGCAGGTTGTTGCGCGGTTGTTGCGCTGAGAGAAATGTGTGGGTCGGGATGACCCAATTAGATGAAAAATCAGCGTCCAAATAGCAATGAACTTTTTTACCCACTTGCCCCATTTGTGGGTCATACTGACCTATTACTGGCCCTTTAAACTTCAGGCATGACTCACTTGTGACATTTAACGTTTAACGTCACAATAATTAATAATAGTGCATCGCTATTTGGAAGTGGTTGGCTCATCTAATTGTGTGTCATTCAGACCCACCCATTTCTCTCAGTGTACTTATTATTGCCTAAAGTTTCATACAATTTAAATATACCGTCCCTTAAATTAGGGCCAGCACTAAATATTCATTTTAATTTTTATTTTAGTAATGAGGAATCTTTTTCATGGCGGTGTATATAATGTTGTTGTTTAAATTTAATTCATTATTTATGGGGAAACTTCTTCTGTTCCTCAACAATAATTATTCTTCCCATTATTTTAATTACAGCGTTATTTTTCTGTTTCTTTTAACAACTGAGTCAGCCATTTAATTAATTTATTTATTTATTTAATTTAATTTATTTAATTCTTTATGTAATTCTGTTTAAGCGCCTGTGAATGATATTATAAAAATATAATATTGCAAGCGAGCAGCGGCTCATTCATGAGCCGACGAATATTCTCAGTAACTGTGAAATATTATTAATCACAAATATTAAAATAATAAATTAATTAATGCGAATTATCAACTATTGTTAATTACTATTTTTGTTCTTTTTCTAAGCAGATTTATATGTATAGTGAACTGATACAAATGAGTGATTCTGAAGCATTTTTTATGTTTGTTTGGTAGCGGCTAAGTTTTTCCGTTTCCATCATTTAACGGCAAAAAATTTTTCGCCTTTACAATGCAAGGTTTAACCTTTTTCTCGTTTATCACGTGTCGGCAAAGATTTTATTGGGCGAGAAAAAAAACCTTTTGTTGATATGATGATAAGAACTTTAGAATATTCTGGTGTTTATTATGCGATGATGAACATTTTCTTATATTTATATTGAAACGTCAAAAATTGTTCTTTCGACAGCATTCGTTTTCTCGCATTCTTTCTCGTTTATAATGCGACTAATCACGAAAAAATTCCTTTATTAAAATTTGTGGCGGTAAACATTTTCCTGCGTTTATCAGGCTCTAGCAAACATTTACTCGGGTTTATCTTGTGATGCCGAAGATTTTCTAAATATCACATAACAACGGCAATCATTTTCTTAAGCCTACATATTATAATGGAAAACATTCACCTCTGACGGCAAACATTTTTATAATCTTATTTGATGTCATCAAACATTGTCCAGAAAAAAACACACAACGGCTAACATTTTCTCTCGTTTACAAAGCGACGGTAAACCATTTTCCCGCGTTTATCACATGGCAACCAAACATTTTCTCTTTTCTATCACGCGATGGCAATTATTTTCCCTCGTTTATCACGCGACAGCAAACATTTTTCTCGTTTATTACGCGACAGCAAATAGTTTCTCTCGTTTATCACGCGACGGCAAACATTTTCTCGCCTTTATCACGCGACAGCAAACATTTTCTCTCGTTTATCACGCGACGGCAAACATTTTCTCTCATTTATCACGCGACGACAAACATTTTCTCTCGTTTATCACGCGACAGCCAACATTTTTTCTCGCTTATCACTCGACGGCAATCATTTTCTCTCGTTTATCACGCAGCAAACATTTTCTCTCGTTTATCACGCGACGGCAAACATTTTCTCTCGTTTATTTTGCACCGGAGGATCACACTTGAGTGCTTGCGTTGCAGCGAGTCTCCAGCGTCATCGCCAAACTGCTTCGAAGTCACGTCAATTTTGCATCGTATTTTTCCCGTCTCAGACTCGAGAGGTAGAAAAAAGTGGCCAGCTCCCTCGCACTGGGCGCGGTCAAGCGGAAACAATGCGCTGAGAAACGCGAGTTCTTGAGAGCTACGAACATGCGTGTGCGTGCGTGGAAGCTGTACGCATGTTTCCGTGCATGCGTGTGTTAGATGTGAGTGAACATGCACCCGTGCATGAATGATTGCGTGGGCGTGCGTGCGTTCGTAAGTGTAATGCATGAGTGTTGCATAAGAGTTCGTTAAAGCGTGTGCATTCCGAAATGTGATGTTATTTTTTTATTTTTTTCTTTTTTGACGTCAATCAACTGGTGTAGTAAGAGTGAATATAATATACACCGTCGAATTTTATTACAAATTTAAGGTTCAAAACTTGGATTTATTGAATTAATACAGTCATGAAGTCAATTGATTGAATTTTCCTTTCAAAAATGAATAATAATCTGAATCTGGGGATAACCAAACCCCAAACTGTGCAACTCACAACCCCAAGAAGGCTCTGGAGATGACCAAATTGTGAAATTAAACCGCGTCGAAGAAAGTTGTGGTTAAAGAAGAAAGTCATTATTTTTAGACTTGTATTTAAAGTGGGTCGAAATCGAGACGCACGAATTGATCTCCATCAGTCAAAAAATTAAATTATCTTGTGTCTCTTGCGAGAAGGTTCGATTTACAGAAATTAAACTGTTATGTGTAAAAAGAAGATGAATATTTAGAGTGAATAGCGATCAAAATTGTAAAAATATAACTCAGTACTCACTGCAGTGAGTGACAGAGAGCGCATTTTCTGGTCGACGAAAACGTGAAGTCACGGACGGACGGACGGACAGACAGACAGACAGACATGGCGAGCACAATAGTGCATTTTTTCCCTAAATGAAAAAATGCGCTAAAAATGCACGTTTATATTGATAATTAATAAATCGGATGAATTAATCACTAAAACTCAATGGTCAGGTCGTGATTAGAAATTAATTAGGTATTTAGTTACGAGTGTCAGTGTCACATTTGCTTCAGTTTCCCCAGCAAGCTTTCTCGGAAATTTTCTACGCTTTTCCGCCTTTTTTTATGTCTCGTCCGCGGTTGAAGTTTTATAGCGGGTTGAAAAATTCGGTTGTATGATCTGCACGATGTCTATCGTGTGATGTGCCGTTTATGGGTAAATGCAACCTACGTCGCATCTTACTCCTAGGGTTTGATCCCTAAATGGATTCAAACCCTAGCTATTTGATATATAAATTATATTATATCATATTATATTATATTATATTATATTATATTACTATTTATAATAATATTGATCAAATTTATCTCTAGTCACAAACGTTAGTGATATGACAGAGATATAAAAAAATCTATTGTGAAGCTCATCTCATCAAAGCAACAACAAATTCCAAAGTATTACAAATTTTAGATTCTAACTATTTATTTGGATATATTCCATGTTTCTTCAATTAAAATAATAAACGGATAATGAAAGAATTTATCAACGATATATATATGCGCAGGTTAATTTATGTTTTGGCGTATTATGGAGCGAACGATGAAAATGTATGCAGGTACAGGTTGTTGCCACAGATAATGTATTCAAGTAACGATGGAAACAAATAATTTCGATAAAACCGTCTTATTAATGTAACAATAATAATTTACCCGCCTAATTAATGGAACAATAATAATGTAACCGCCAAATTAATTTAACTAGAATAATTTAACCACCTTGAAGACGTCTTCGCACGATTTGTCAATCAATATAAAGCAATAAAATTTGTGAATAATAATTAGCTGAAGAGTCTTGCTTACCGCCGTGACCAATCAGCGCGCAGCATTTCAGGCGTGTGGTGGACACCCGCCAGCCAGTGCCGCGCGGGCAGTGGTTGAGTGAGGTTGTGCGTCGTGTGCGGTGCGTGTCTGCGTTACACAAACTTCAATAGCATTGCTTTTTTCGGTTCAACGACGCACGGCATTATGTAAGTTGAACAATAGTTACTTCGTTTGTAACAATTATTTTAATTTCGTTTATTTAATTTAATTAGTTGATATTTATTTTAATCATATTTTTACTTCATTTGTTACAATATTATGCCTTGAATATAATTGTAACGATTTTTTGTTTAATTAGTGCTGAAGATGTTACATTTTACGTAGTTTATATTTTTGAATGTAATGAAGATGTATTGTAATTTGCATAATGTAGAAATACGTAAAGTAATACGTACGTAAATACGCAGTAAATTTGACTACAGGATTAGTAGTAGTAGGATAACTAATAATAATAGTAGCAAAATTAGTTAATCCTACGTATACGAGTGTACAGGATTACTATTTCTTCTTGGAATTCATCATCAAAAAATTTCGTTCTAACTTTTTGCACGCATTTTTTATGAACATTTTAATGACCTAAGAAACCTTCATTGCAAGCACTAAATTTTTAAGTTGCCGTTGCTCGATTTTAATTAAGCCTTAATTTATGAACCCAGCTTTATATTTTTCAGCGAATTATCTCAGTGAAAAATTTTTATTATTGCAATATTCATACGAATGCAAGTATGACGTCATCATTTTGATTGCTCAATTTTTTGCCAAACAGAGAGCGACTCTGAACGCGTCATAAATTTTTAGGGAGTTTCTGAATTTTACGAATTTAAAATGAAAATGAAAGTCGCACAAGTCCAATGAAATTGTTTTTTTTATATTTAATTGTCTTAATATCAGTTTAAAAAACAGTTTAACTATTTCATTATAGTGACTCTGAAGCATCCCTTATAATATCATAATTTTGATTAAATTTATTGCGATTTTAAATTAATGATTTGGGATGCCAGTTTCTTAGCTATGAATATTTCAAACTTCTAATAAAATATAAATATATATTATTTTATTCATCTTATATAGCCATACTAACAATGTTCGACATAGCCTCGTGCAATCCTACGTATGCCTCGTGCAATCCTTCATTTATTCGTGCAATTATACGCATGTTCGTTGGTTTTGTTTCGTCACTTTTACTTTGTCTCGCTCAAGCGGTCAAGCAAAAACTCGGTTGACTTCGTCTGGCGTCCGGAGTCTAAAACTTTACTAAAATATATATTTTTTCCTTTCATTTTTGAACACTCATAAACCTATAACTTTGATTGATTTTCTTTACCAAATTTTCTTTAAGAAAAATGAAAAAGAAATGTTAACTTTTTTGTTAACTTTTTTGATTGATACGAATATTGGGATAAAATGCAATTCATTTTAAAAGTAAAAATGAATATATTTAACGTATTAATGACTGAATGTACTAAATTGGCTTTTGCTTTAGTTAATTATAGAAAATTAATTACTTAGAACACTTTAATTAAAATCCAAAATTACAGTTAAGTATTATAATTTATTAATACATGAAAAGTTCAATAGAAAATTTGGTTTGAAAGTAACGCATTCCATTGAATTTCTTAAGAACTTTCGGTACCAAGATAAATAATTAAGAATAATATAATTTGTTTATACTTATTTTATATTCTAATGTAATTTAAATTTAAATAATTTGTTTTTTATTGCGTAATGTAAACCCTAAATTTTATGTTATCATGATATAGATTATGTCATAAATTATGATGATTTTATAATTATATAAAAAATTCAACAACATTTAGAGCTTTCCATAATCAGTGCAACATATATTATATATATTATATATACTATATATATTATATATATTGGGGTTTCTCCACTTGGCAGGCTGACCCCCCGCACGGTAACCCCCCTCTTCCCCACAACCCCCTGGCTGAAGTTCATCCTCACTTTATGGGTGAATATTGATTGCATGGGTATAACGAATATGAATATAAAAAAACTATGTCGATGCATATATGGATCAATTTATTTGACAAAACATTCGTTCATGAAAGTTTCACGAATAATTGTTGATGATTATAAATCTTGTACACAAAGTGTGTATGTATTTTACACTGTTTATACACGTTGGTATCATGAATGTGTGAGGATACTGGATTAACATCACCATCATACTCACCCATGCAGGCTCTGTTGGTGATTCCCATGGTGGTTTCCAATCCGGAACGCGATCCATACTCCTTCAGAAAAATCCTTCTAGAAAAGAAGAACAATCCTTCAAAGTTTCTACCAGAACCCTTATCATTATCATCCGATGTCCACCAGATATTAACAGAACCTTCTACACAAAAAGTCATCCAAGAATTACCCCCCAACCCAAGTCGAAATTGGGCTTCAGCTTCCACCAGCCGTGGGAGGGGGAAAAGCAAGGAAAATTCAACTAAACCTTCTACTAATCATATTATGGGAACATCTACTATGCCCGACCTACCGGAATCTGTTTCTACGACTACAAATTACGATAAACTTTTCATATCTGCTTCACCTTCAACGAACACCAGAAATACGGAGCGAGGTAGACCTTCAACTACTGATGGAAGTAACGACAAACTTGGGACAAGTCAGAGGAAGTCTCGTACTTCATCAGCAGCCAGCATTAAGACATTTTCTGATTTAATTAATGAGGCACAATTGGTTCGAACTACTAAGATAAACAGGTCATCAAATGCAACTTCTTTGCTTGCGGTGGAAAAAGATAAATCTGGAGCATCGAAGAAAGTTGTTGAAATTACGCCAACTTCGACAACTCAGGTGATGCCAGTTTTCACCAAATTTCAGTCCACAGTGACAACGCTCGGGAAGACAAATTTATTCATACCAAGCAATACAAAACAGGTGGCTCCATATTCAACCGATGTTAAATCGATCCCGAGTTATGATGGCCAATTTACTTCATATATGTCCAATGATCGGGAGAAACCTGGATCTCAGAGAAAAATTGCTTCATCTCACGTAAAATCGACAACAGCATTTATTAAAGCTTCACTTTCTTCCGCGCATGCGCCTCAAGGGACTAGAACGACAACGATATCTAGCAAACCCCAAGGTACCTCCACCCCAGACGTTTCTTCAAGTCGGAGGAACGTTATGTCCCCTTCAAAAACCATTTCTCTACCACCCATGACAGTTCAACTCTTTGCTGACAACCTTCTCGAACCAAACGTAGTGACCTATGGCCATCCAGACTATGATAAATTCTCCGCGAAAAAGACTAAATCCCGATTCAGCGATAGTATGCCCTCTGGATCAGCCCCTTTGCCTGTTGTGGTCCGACCCCGACTACCCACAGACGAACCCTACCTTCTACCCGACGAAGCGCGGCGACAACCGAAGATTTCTGCACGAAGATCGACTTTGACGACAGTTTCGCCAGCGAAACAACGACCCGTACGACATAACGCACAAAACCCTTACAGTTATCGCGAACTTTTTGCCGATGACGAAAGTCCAGACTACCGAAACTCAGCATCTCCTTCGCGCAGTGAAGCAGAAAAAGACTCGACCAACATTGGAACGGCCCGAGCAACAGTCCTCCCTCTCCCCGAAGAGGAAATTGACGACTACGACGAAAATGCAGAAAAACGACGAGATTCATCGAACTTTAAAATTCAGGCAGCAGGTAATGAGTGATGTTATTCCATATTCTGTGATGTTATTGTTTTGCTTCTTCTGTAGAATCGGTAGGCTTAAAATTTTTTGTTGTATGTTTCATGTTATGTCACCGCCTCTTTGATGCATGTACCTACAACATTTAGAATTTACCAACCTCCAAGGAAGTTATATTCTGCGTATTCTGTGTGGCCATCATTGTGTATGACATATACTAAATTTTATTATTAGAAACCTAGCGATTCAGTTCCCAATTTATGACTACGGTCCTGTCAAGTTTTTAATATACAACAGTGGTTCTTTTAGGTTATGAATTCACGGCAATGGTTCTATCATGTTATAAATTTACGAAAATGGATCTATTAAGTTAAAAAATTTTTAAGTTACGTACTTGACACTACGATTTTATTACCTTGACAATCGCTGAAAAAAGTTCCCTTATATTTTACACTAATTTAAGATTTCGTTTTTATTAACTAAAGCATTTACCACTATAAGGCTCTAATAAATTTTGACTTAATGACTGTGGTTCAATTAGTAGCAGATTACTGTTAAAATAAGCTTCAAATTTACGACTACGTTTCATATATATCACAAATTTACGACTAGTTTTCATATAAATGACCAATTTACGACTCCCAGCGCACGAGCCACCGGCTTACGACTACGATTACGACTACCAGCACGCCGTCGACTACCAGACAGAACCTCGCTACATCCTACCAGACGCAGGTTATGACTTTAGATTAGAACTTAAGTTCTTAAATGAGAAAACTATTCCCCTGACAACTGTTGCCATGGACTTTGGATAGAACTCAAGTTCTTATAAAGGATAATTATCGACATCTGTCCCAGGAACGAAAGAAATGATGTTGACTTCATCATGTTAATTGGAGAACTTCAGCTTCATTTATGTTTATGTTCTTGACCATCTCATTGTTGAGCCTTCTTAAAACATATCATACACATATGGGCATATCATAAAAAACATTTTATGCAATTATTGATTTTCATTAATAGCCACACATTTAGACGAAAAGTGCAAAAAGGTTTAGAACAGAGTTGTAGTGGCCAGCCGTCCACCGTTAAGTTGAACCAACTGGCAGATTTTGCAAATCATCACACGAAACTTGAACTATGAATGCAAAAAATGACGACTGCTTTTCATTTCAGGATGTGCAGCCGGAAACAAATGCCGGTCAACATACTTTTTTTCGCTGCTTTGCAAATCATTCAGTTAACTTAGTTAACGACACGAGTCAAAACCCCCACACTGTTATTACTGTCTGACCAATTCATTGGGAAAATCTAAATTTCGCCTCAAATTCTGGGACTTCTTGTTCGTTTATCTATAGAAAATATAACCCAAGGTTCTGGGAGTATTATTATTAGTTTGTTTATTAGCAAGGAATTTCACTTTGTTAGTACCGGTTCTGGGACCGGTAATTCTTTTATTAACGGGAATTCTACCCCAGGTTCTGGAACCCGAAACTTATACTCCCAGCCGCTGCTAGAGGAGCGCCCCAAGAAAGACGAGATGGTGAAGACCTCAGAGAAGACCAGCAAGAAGATGTTCAGCAGTCAGATGGAGAGGCAGAAGGTCTTCACTACAGACAACAAGAAGAAGACACCGAAAGATGGCGGTGGCAACAACAAAATGGATAAAAGTGTAGCCAAGATGATCGATGGAGGAGGTAGGTTATTGCAACGTAGGCGATGATGTGAATTGATTTTTTCCTTGTAAAAATATAAGTAATGCATGTGGAAGGGCTTATGATGTCGGGGAAGACAGTTAACTCAAACTTATACGGCTGGGCAAGCGAGAGGAGTTCTATAAAGTGGATGAGTGAGTGGAGGTAGTGGCGAGTTTTGGAACATTAACCTCAACACAATTCTGGAACCGCCTAGGCTTCGTCCGAATAATCACTACAATCGTCGCAAAGCTGTTCTGGGCCTGCTTGGTCAACGGATCGAAATCAGTTTCGGGTCAGAATCTCCTCTCTGACTTCAAAGTCGCCTGAGAGTATGACAAGGGTTGGCCGAGCCGAGTCATACCAAGCGAGCAAGCTGCCAAGAAGCTGTCCTTCGAACCTTCTGATGAAGCGGACATAGAGCTGCTGATTTACGCACTCCCTTGACGGTCCTAATGCAGGGTCGCGCACTCCTCTAAATTTTGTTAGTGAAGTGAGGAAAGGAAGAAAGACTGTTGATTTTTCTAAGGTAAACTAAAAACTTTAAGACAAACCAAATCCGTTTGTTCATAACTCTTACTTAAAATATTCAGACACACCCGACCTCTTTGGCACAACCTAATTAAGACGTATTTGTCGCCAGCGATCTCATTGGAGGTAATTCAGTTATAAATTTTAGGGCATACCGGAATATCCCTTGCCACAACATAGCTAAATGTTTTATATATCCGTCATCTTATTTTCCACAACCTAGGCATGATCTTTCCACAGCGTCTGTGGTGATGGGGAACTTGTTACCGGAGGACGCTAAGGACAAGGTGGCGGCCATCAAGGCGCTTGACGTGGTCTGCACTAAGGACGTCATGAACGTCACCCTGCAGTTTGACAAGGACTTTGCTGGAGTTATATATAGCAAGGTAAGGCCTCCAGTTATTCGTACCATTCGCTAAAACTACACCATAACATAAATAACATAAACAAACGAAACAAACATGCACAAAAAAAACCTAGATTGAAGCTATTGTTACCTATTTTTAACTATTTTTAACTTAACTTATTTTTTAAATGAAACTGAAGTTACCTATTACCTCAATTCTATTATACTCGTACCTTTTGGCAACTAGAAGTGGGACCAATATAGAAAGCTACCGCAATAGACTTTGCTATCTTATCCTATCATCCACTTAGGCCATAAGAATTAACTGTACCAAGAGGGAACACAATCTGAATTCATCAATTACGGCTCTCGTGGTCACTTCGGCAAGGAGAACTGTACCCATGGACAAAACTTACTTAATTTGCCATAGTTTCCATCCTATAAGGCCACGTGACAACAAAAATGTGGGAGGAACCAATGTTAAATAAAATCATTTTTACCCCACAAGGCCACTTTCAAAACAAGAACAGCCCCAAGGAAAAAGCTAACCTAAATGTCCCCAGGAGGTCAACATTTTCAATAATAAATGAGCCCAGAAAGATACCAATGTAAAATAACAAAATTTTTATGCCACATGGCTACTTGGCAACATAAACTGCACCCAGTTAAGATACCAATGTAAAATAACATAATTTTCATCGTACAAGGCCACTTCGGCAACATAAAGCTGCACCTCGTATATATCCCAAGTGTAATTAACATAATGTTCATCGTACAGGGCCACTTCGGCAACAAGAACTGCACGTACGTGCAGGCCGACAAGAAGAAGGACTTCAACTTCTCGGTGCCGGGGGCGGGACAGTGCGGCACAAAGTTCGTCGAGATGAAGGACAAGCCTGCCTTCCTCGAGAACATCCTCATCGTCCAGAACGAGCCTGGCATACAGGAGGTAAATGAGCATGTAAGACTTGATGACGTGTTCTAAGTTCATCCGTCACTGTATTACCTACATTAACACGTTCAGTGCTGCACTAACCCACCAGCGCTGGTAGATGGCCTAAAAACGGCCAAGTCCGCGGTCAAAATGGCCTGCAATTCAAAATATACAAGTAAATTTGTAGGTTCCGCTGCAAAAATTAAAATTTGTTTTTTTTTCGTACATTTTAAAATTTAATGAGGTAGGACTGTCACCATAAATTTTTGTTCACAAAAGCAATTGAAAAAAAAACTAAATTGCGGAATTTGTCCGGAAAAAGACCCTGCAAGCCACCGGTGGTTCGTGCTGCACTGAGCGTGTTAATGGAGGCTTCGGTGGTGCGGTGGTAGAGGACGTGCTAGGCACGCTTGACGTGGTGGTGACTAGTACTGACTAGTAGTGGTAGTGACTAGTAGTGGTAGTGACTAGTAGTGGTAGTGACTAGTAATGACTAGTAGTGGCAGTGTCGCACGTGGAAACTAGTAGAACTTGACGATTTACTAGCGCAAGTTTCCTTCGTGAAAATGAAATGACTAAATACATTGATTTTTTTCGATTATGCATCTCCATATGGCATTACTAATTCTTATTTAGTTCCAAATGTACAAACCATTGAACAATAATTAAGTATTACAATAATTACATACGTTTTACCGGAACAATAGTCATTGTTCAGTAACGAGATTCCTGATATTAGTAAAGTAGCCTAAATATAATTAATATAGTAGCCTAAACTAGAAATGCATTACACGACTATAGTAACAGTAGCTAACATGGTATCTGTGCATCAAAACTGGTTACTAGGGTAAATATAGTTTATGTTTAGGTAGCTACCACTTCGGGTATTTAGAAACTTGCATTAAGTTCTCTATATACAATACAATATATAAAATGTACAATTTTTTGAAATCCTGAATTCGGTAGCTAGTATCTATGTATACTGTCAACTGTGATTGATAACATGATTAACTCGAATAAATATAGTTTTCCTGCAATATAGAGTAATTTGAGTACAACAATAGAGTAATTTACGTTATACATGACTTGAATGATGACTATATCTCTATTTACCTGTGCTAGATGACTTAGTTTTATTAAAGAAATTATTTATTTATTTTATTTATTATTATTTAAATCGTTACAATATTTACTGTCGTACCGTAAAACAAAAATTTGTTGGCGTTTCAATTAAGGAAACTTTAGCTTTTAATAAACTACACTGAAATAAATGAGCGAGTCTCTGCCCAAAAATCAGTGTATATTAATTTATATAAAACTTGCTATACAAGATACTTCTGCCCCCCACCCCCNCACCAAGGTGACCGCCGCGCTGGCCGTCAGCAAGATAGACCAGCAGGTCGTGTCCTTCTCGGCGGACACGCAGGCCACCGCCACCCTCGACATACAGGTCCGTTGTCCGCCGCCTGCTAACCACCCACGCAGGTCCGTTGTCCGCCGCCTGCGAACCACCCACGGAAATTATTGGGTAAGATCGTCCAAATTTGAGGCGCCCTTTTCCGGGGCAAAATAGGTCAGGTTGACCCATGTGGGGCAAAAAGTGCATTGATATTAAGACAAATATCAGTTATTTATCTGGGTGATGTTGTCCATCGTCCCATGTGAGGAGAGGATTCATTCTGTTATACATTAATTATATAATTATATTATTAGAAAAATTATATTATAATATTATATAATTGTATTATTAGTACTATAGATGTTTGGAATATGTGAATATCTAATGATTATAATTTTGTAAGAATTTTATTCTCTAAATTTTGTTAAGTTTCGTCCTACAAAAAAATTTATAATCTCCTCCCAATATCTTTTGATATTTTTAACCCCTAATGTATGGCACCTATGGTCCATGGATATAATGTATGTATATTACATCCCAGTATCTAAACCCCTACTGTATTGGGGGGTCCTTAGTTATGTTCAACCCCCAAATATCAACCCCCCATATTGACCCCCTCAGTTTAACCCCACATCTCGACCCCACATCTCAACCTTCTCAGTTTAACCCCCAATATGAAACCCCACATCTGAACCCCCCTTGTTTAACCTCACATATCAACCATCCATCTCAACCCCCACAGTTTAACCCCAATATCAACCCCCCATCTGAACCCCCTCAGTTTAACCCCAATATCAACCCCCATCTCAATCCCTTCACTTTAACCCCCCAATATCAACCCCCCATCTGAGCGCTTTAATTTAACCCCCTATGTGAACCCCCATCTNCAGTTACTTGCTACAGTAATGATACAGATATTTTCTACAGTAATGATACAGTTACTTGCTACAGTAATGATACAGATATTTTCTACAGTAATGATACAGTTACTTGCTACAGTAATGATACAGATATTTTCTACAGTAATGATACAGTTACTTGCTACAGTAATGATACAGATATTTTCTACAGTAATGATACAGTTACTTGCTACAGTAATGATACAGATATTTTCTACAGTAATGATACAGTTACTTGCTACAGTAATGATACAGATATTTTCTACAGTAATGATACAGTTACTTGCTACAGTAATGATACAGATATTTTCTACAGTAATGATACAGTTACTTGCTACAGTAATGATACAGATATTTTCTACAGTAATGATACAGTTACTTGCTACAGTAATGATACAGATATTTTCTACAGTAATGATACAGTTACTTGCTACAGTAATGATACAGATATTTTCTACAGTAATGATACAGTTACTTGCTACAGTAATGATACAGATATTTTCTACAGTAATGATACAGTTACTTGCTACAGTAATGATACAGATATTTTCTACAGTAATGATACAGTTACTTGCTACAGTAATGATACAGATATTTTCTACAGTAATGATACAGTTACTTGCTACAGTAATGATACAGATATTTTCTACAGTAATGATACAGTTACTTGCTACAGTAATGATACAGATATTTTCTACAGTAATGATACAGTTACTTGCTACAGTAATGATACAGATATTTTCTACAGTAATGATACAGTTACTTGCTACAGTAATGATACAGATATTTTCTACAGTAATGATACAGTTACTTGCTACAGTAATGATACAGATATTTTCTACAGTAATGATACAGTTACTTGCTACAGTAATGATACAGATATTTTCTACAGTAATGATACAGTTACTTGCTACAGTAATGATACAGATACTTTCTACAGTAATGATACAGATACTGTATTAATTAATGACACAGCCAGTGCAATAAATCATCATTACCCCCCCAGAACGGGTGTGTGGTGATGAAGAAGCTCATGGGCTCCTGGCAGATCACTAAGAACACAGGGGACAAGAAGAAACCTGTCATAGCCTTCGCCCACTTCCAGGTATCGTGCAATACCAGGTAACGATTTAAACTCTCAGGTAACGATTTACACTCTCAGGTAACGATTTAAACTCTCAGGTAACGATTTACACTCTCAGGTAACGATTTACACTCTCAGGTAACGCTTTACACTCTCAGGTAATGCTTTAGACTCTCAGGTAATGCTTTACACTCTCAGGTAATGCTTTAGACTCCCAGGTAATGCTTTACACTCTCAGGTAATGCTTTACACTCTCAGGTAATGCTTTACACTCTCAGGTAATGCTTTACACTCTCAGGTAACGCTTTACACTCTCAGGTAACGCTTTATGCTCTCGGGTAACGCTTTACACTCTCAGGTAATGCTTTACACTCTCAGGTAATGCTTTAGACTCTCAGGTAA